AGAGAGAGAGAGAGAGAGAGAGAGAGAGAGAGAGAGAGCGTATGCTTCTGCTGCCACAGTCAGTAACCATTTGAATTCTGGGCAGAGATTTCGCGCCCTAGCCACAGGTGCAAACGTTTCCATTCTGCGACCATTTTGCGACCATTCTGCGACCTCCCTCAGCACAAAACACGAGAGTGAAGATTCACCTGTAGGTTCTGACAGTCGGCCACGCCCTCCGCGTCGAGAATGAGCACGCCGGGCCCGCGCCTCCACAGCGTCACCGCTGAGACGGCGTTCTCGCGCAGCGCCTCGGCCACGTCGGCGGCGCGCGCCACCAGCAGCGGCTGGCCCGCTGCCAGCGTCGGCGCGCGCCGCACCATCTGCACCAGGCAGAAGGTGCGCAGCTGCGCGTACGAGTGCGGCATCCAGACGGCGGCGGCGGGCGCCGTGGCGGCCAGCGCCTGCACGCGCGCCGCGTAGTAGTCCAGGCTGCGCTCCGACATGCGCAGCCCCTGCGGGCAGCGCGTCTGCGCGGCCAGCGCCCGCTGGAAGGCGGCGTACGGCGCCGAGCGCGCGCCCAGCACCGGCACGCGCCCGCGCAGGCCCACATAGCGACGCATCTGCGCAACAACAGCCGGCAGTATTAGGCATCATTCACAATATATATATATATATATATATATATATATATATATATATATATATATATATCGATTGTAATATTGACATACTTGTTTCTGTGAAACGTTTGTGTTATAATCTACAGTATCTATAAAATCTGCAGAATCCGTAACCTATAGAATCTGCAACTATATGTGAAATAAAACAAATTACTTGAAATTCTAGGCGATTAAATTTGCACAGGTGCACCTCTCAGTTCGAAGAATCTGCAGCTCTATGTGAAATGAAACACATTACTTGATATTCTAGGCGTTTAAATTTGCACTAGTGCAGTTCGATGATGAAGTTAAAAAATATTCCGAAAAGTAGGGTTATGCTGGACAATTTTAAGTAGCTTTGTCGAGAGTATCCACAGGACGGGGAGTGTGGAGAGGATCAGGGTGAATATGGGCAGTTTGGCGTAAGGTAGGATTAACTAGAGAAGATACACTACAGGCAGAATTCAATGCTTTTACTGTCTGAATAAATGAATATGATACATAAATTCGACTTTAAACTCCGATTAAATCGCACGAGTTTGTACTGGTAATAATAAAATACGAAGAAAGAATGAAGAAGAAAAAAGTACTGATAAAAGAGACCTTACTTTAGAAATTTAAAAAATCCCTGTCAATTGCAGAGTGTGCCAATACGAGTATACCCACTTTTTATTTTGGTTCAAGGTGTAGAGAGGAAACATTTCAGAAGAAATTTAGAGAAAATTGTATCTTCTCAAAAAATTCTGAATTACAGAAACCAGTTCTGCAAACACGACTTTTAGTTCTCATGTATGTGAAGAAATGGTCCCAATATTGCATCTGGGTGGTAGAGTGGTGTTTTTTCCCTAGCTCTTTCCTTTCAGTGGCAGGTATGGGCCAATTGTTCTCAGCATAAATTGCTGAAAAGCCATGAGATTAATAATAACAATAATAATAATAATAACTACAACCACAACCCCACAATGCGTATTGCCGTTGAAATCTCGAAATATATTTTCCGCGATATTTCATAACGTTCCATGTATAGGGGATATACGTATGTATACGGGAAAGTAAAAAGGTCTACATATATTTCACAAGGCGTACCCCGTTCCTAAAGTAGAATAATTTTTTTTTAATTTTTAGCACATAATGAATTCATTAACGTCTAGAATAACGATTATTTAAGCAAAAATATAAATTTGGTTTAATACCACAGACACTTCCTGCAAACAAAATTATTTTTGGGATAACATGCAAATGGGACATGAGCCCAGTTATTACACTTCTGAAACGAAGTCTAATCAGTTCAATTCTTGAACCATACACCTCTACAGTCCGGTATAGATTGTCAACATTAATGTTATAAAATGCAACTTTGTGCAGCCAAAAGAACCAAACAGTAATTGTGCATACAGTAGTAATGCGGAATATTCCACATTATGACAATTCCACATTAGGAACATAGCAAACGTATTGCTTTTAAGCTATTTCTCGATTAAAATTTGTGTCGATTTTTTTATATATTCTGTAATATTTACTTAGACATACAACTATATATACTGTATTGATAATTATTCTAATATTTACGGCAAACGAGTAACAATTATTATTTTGTTAACTGATCCAATATTTTTGTTAACCCTCTAAAGAAAACACGCTCTGCCACTTCACTGAAGAACGTCAACTCACAACACATTAACTACACTCGATCAGGGGTCTCTTCAGAGTAATTCCCAAATGTTGCCTCGAGACATCATATCAAAGCACGTCCGATACTTCGGTATCTGACATTAGGAACTTATTCCACATTAGGGTAATTTACCCACAAATATACTTGATTTACGAGATTATTACCTAATAGACCACTTTATATTTCACGCTGATTTTACACATATCCTCAACTTCCAATTATTTTTTCTTAATCCCAAATAAGAAAATCGTTGAGTAGAATGAATACCAAATTCGCTGAAGTGAACGTTTGATTTCAAAGCGAATGATAGAGACACAAATTGCCATTTTAATAGATAAACACTTTGCAATCGTTATTGCAGTTATGGAAATACTAAAGTTAAAAGGATAAGTTGGCAGAATTACTTATTGTGAATATTCATAGATTAATTTACATGATTTATTTGAATTTTACTGGATGTTTCGACAGTATGAATGTTTCACAAACTTGAAAATCACTTTAAATCATGAATATGGTCTCATATTGGATGCAGCGAGTTTATTCGACCACGAATTACATCACTTTGGATCTTAATTGTCGGAAAGGTTGATCGGTATAGCATGCAAATCACCGCACAGTCTCCCCGTTTTGTTTAACTCTCAAAAAGCAGGTAATTCATTTTTTATCTCCAAGTTTTTCTTCGCAGATCAACAAAATAATAATACAATATGTGAGTGAATTGCCAGTGTCGTTGAGATTTCGTTTGTATTGAAATCAAGGCAAAAATATTGGGAATTTAATTTATCCTAGATTAACAATTTTCATAATGTAAATAATTTTTGATATACCTATTCTTTTAAATCACACTGTCAGTTTTCCTAATAATACAAGCATTTTATACATATTAATATATTATATTGAAATATTTTTAAAGGCAATTTTATTTTTTAAAAGAGAAACACTATTACGAATAATTGACGCAACCGTTATAGCGAGTTCTTAGGAGTTTATTGTAAAAGTAATTTTAGTTTTTAAAGATAGTTATACTAAAGAGAACTTCAGAAAACAAACATGTGTATAGTTAAAACATTTATTCTGAAAAAATGCATGACTACGTTAGAACGATCACCATTAAAAACAATATTTGACGATTTATAGAATCATTAATTGTTTATTTTATTAAACTTTTATTTAAAAATATCTTAGTGTTAACATAAGAAACTGGAAGAGCTCAACTGTGTAGTGGAATGAATTAAAAAGAGAATACAAATAGTGTTATAATCTGAAACACACAAGGGTAGTAAAACAAAAATTGAATCTCATAAATGATTCTTAGACTGAAACACTGATTAATAAATAGCAGGAGAAATATGATCCGCGAAGAAAATTGCTATTGAGAGTCGATGAGAGTCGATCAGCGTCGATCAACGTCGATCAGAGTCAATCAGAGTCAATAAGAGTCGACCAGAGTCGATGAGAGTCGATGAGAGTCGATCAGAGTGGATCAGAGTCGATGAGAGTCGATCAGAGTCGAACAGAGTCGATCAGTGTCGATTAGAGTCTTTAGAGTCGATCAGAGTCGATCAGAGTTGATCAGAGTCGATGAGAGTCGATGAGAGTCGATCAGAGTGGATCAGAGTCGATGAGAGTCGACCAGAGTCGATAAGAGTCGATGAGAACGGCTGACGTCACCTCTGCGCGCAGCGCCTGCGCGGGCTCGTCGTGCCTGCGCAGGATGCCGTGCTGCAGGGCCAGCTCCTGGCGCAGCAGCTCCTGCAGGAGGTGGGCGGGCGCCATCTGCGTGCACAGCACGAAGCGGCGCAGGAAGTCGTGGGCGAGCGGCCCGGCCACGTCCGGGTGCGCGGTCGGCACGAGCCGGCGCAGGCAGCCGGGCGCGCCCGTGGTGAGCAGGCGCGTGACGGCCGGCGGCGCGGGCGGGCCCGGCGGCCGCGCCGCCGCCGCGTCGCTGTACACCGCGAACAGCGCCTCCTCGCGCAGCCCGCGCAGCTCGTCGCGCGCCCACAGCGACGCGTCGCCCCACACGCGCGCGAACGCCTGCAGGTGGCGCGACAGCGCCAGGTCGCGCCCCGACACCTCACGCGGGCTCACCTGCCGACAACGCACGCGGTTGATCAATCGATCGATCGATAGATAGACAGGCAGACAGAGATAGATAGATAGAGAAATAATAGCTAGCTAGCTAGCTAGCTAGATTGATATATATGTAGATAGACAGATAGTGATAGAGATAGAGAGATAATAGATAGCTGGATAGACAGATATGTAGACAGACAGACAGATAGAGATAGATAAGTAGATATATAGATAGAGAGATAAATAGATTTATTGAGTGATTGATTGATGTTCGTCAACTTCTGAGATCGCTACTGTGTATGTCAACTGCTGAGATCATTAGTCCCGTAAATGTAATGCAGGTTTTTATCGCTGGAGGTGGCGGTGAACATGCCTTGGTGGATAATGGGAACTGGCGTCAAACTACAGGTACCTCCCACCAACAAGGCACCCCCCACCCGAGATAATCTCCAAGCACCCGACTGGTCTCCCAACATGTGTGATAAAGTAGTGCATGAGAGTGTGTACATAAGAGGTAACAATAGGAGAAGGAAGAGAAAGGAAAGATCGCACACGCTCCATGGCCCATGTGTTAAGGTACTACGCCGGCATTCGCTTAGTGATGATCGGAGAAACCACGCATAACTAGCAATCAGAGCAGCCAGACCCGGAAATTCTCTTCCGGGATGCAGCTGAATGCTATCTGGCAATGTATCTTGTATCTGTTCCTTATCTTTTAGAAAAGACGTTTCTGACTGATAAGCAAAATTTATTAGTAGGGATCAGTAAGTTGAGTTTTCATGCTCTAAATATTTTCCAAATTTCAAGATAAAAATCCTTCGAATAAATACTGTACAGTAAACCTATCATGATTGTATCAGTATTTATATGTTTTCCGGTTAAGAAAATCCTATATAGCTTATGCAAAAATCAAATTCCATTAAACATTTATATTATTAATTGTGGTTTAATGTATATTTCTGACCTGGAAAAACGTGTATTTCTAAAAGGGAAAGTTTATTTTCTGCCAACACTTACAAGAAGGTTAGAGTATAATTTCTTTCTGTCATAGCAAAGAGCTTGAGCAAAATACATCCACAATAATTTAATTATTGCATTACCTATACAAGAGTTTATAAGTGTATTTTACATATCTCCTAGGAATCAGAAGTAGAAACTATAAGTATTCTACTTATTTGGAAACGAAGAAGAAATTAATGTGGAATTGTCAACGAGAAATTAATAAGTTATTACGGAAGTAATTTGATGAGAATGATCCCGCGAAAAACGGCTTAGGATTATCGTTAACATTACCGCCATCAACATTGTGTATTGTACTATTTCGTGATCCATATTTCCCCCCTTATAATTTTTTTTCTTACTTTTATTAAAACCAGCTTTGTGTTTCCCTCCTCCGGCAACTTGACCACGATGTCTCCGTATTCGCCCGCCCATTCCACGTTCACCATAATCTCCGCTTGGGGCGAGTCGTACATTGCCCGGAGAAGCAGAAGACTCGCCAGCTCAGTGATGTACTCCTCCACATCTTCGTCATTCTTCGCGGACTTTCTTTCGTACGTCCTGAAAAGGATTTTCAAAACATTAACTTTGTTAGTAATTGTATTTCTAGTTGAAAATCTGGGTATTGTAATTCGAATATTTAAAAAATACCTTTTAAAAATTTGAATGAGTCCAAATAAAAAGGCCAATAATTAATACAAAATCGTAGTATCTGAGAAGCCAATTTTTTGCGCAAGAAAATTGATACATAAACCGGGTCTTATCCCTTATTGTTCTGAATTGATTCCCATGTTGCAAGATCGCTTAATGAAAGCGAAGAATGATGTCGGAAATTAAAGTACTCTGTTTCGTAATTGGATTGAGAATGGAACGTTTTAATGAATTAAACGGATATTGGTATTTAAGAGCACGTTTTATAATTAATCCAGAGCTTCGAGGAGAGGAGTGTTGGGCAAAAAAGTAGTTTGCAATAAAATGAGTGGGAAATTATGCGTTCGAGAAGCACAAGCAACTGTTTTATATTAATCGCGTAGTTTAAAAGCCAGAATCAGCCCATCATGAAATTGAACACGCCTTAAAAGCGTGAACTCGCCTTAAAATTTGAGGATATATTTACACCACCAATCCGCTCGCGGTGTCATGTTGTCAGTGTTATTGCGGAAGTGAGCTGATTTATTCATATTTGTTACGATAAGATAATGCAATAGATATTTTCATTCGCTGTTCGACATCTTCATCTAAAACTTTGCTTAACTGCTAGGTGTTTAAGTCGGAGAAAGAGGCCAGAATAAAGGAAACAGTGATTGGTCACACTGAAGATGACGGAGTGTATTTAGATACGTTCTAACTGTTTTGCTACTTTTTGTAGAAACAAATGCTCATGTAAGCACATGTTGGCGCTTTGGGTCGCTCTAGTAGTATAACGTAGCAAAACAACAGTGGAAGGGCAGTATAAGGAGCAAAACATGCTACCAGAGGCCCAACAATGACTCTGCAGTTACGGACGCGACGACAACGGGCAAGCGCTTTGCGAACGAATGTTTTATATCATTTGCATAGGCGAAGACCGGAGCTTCATCATTGGCTTTGACTACAAAGAAGAGTCAAATGTAGCTTAGAATTGTTCAGCAGAAAATAACCTTGCAATAAACTGCTTTGAAAATTATGCTTGCTCAAGAATGTTTAATAATAATCGCGTAGCCCAAAGAAAAGACCTTCGTCATAATGAAATTGAACATGCTTTGAAAGCGTCAATTTGCCTTTAATGTTTGAGGTTATAATTACATCATTCTGTTCGCGGTGCCATATTGTTCATGTGTGGAAAAAATGCAGGCGTCGGTCATGTATAGTAATTATTAAAAAACAATATGTGAAGTAAGATACGTTTCAAACGTAAAGAGAACGTATCAAAATAGCGTGTCTATCTTGGGGCTGCTTATATCAATAAAGAAAACGTTTCAATATGAACACTTTTGTTCCACAGCATGAAATTATATTATAAAACTAGTGGTGCCCTAACAACAACCCTAGTTTTCGCCCTTAGTAATGGTTACGTAGTACTATTTACACCGCAATTTCTCTCCGAATTAACACATATTAGTCATCATCTTTTGTAAACTCCATTACTAATTGCAAAATTTTAGGTGATGACGTCTATCTCTGTGTCAGCAGACTTGCAAGGTCTTCCGCGATAGCACACATAAATGAAAGACAAGAGACAAACAACCATGCCTACGGTGGAACCCACGACCTTTTAGAGCGAGACGCATAGTCGGCACACGCTCTATCTACCTTGACCATTGAGATCTGCGACAATTAAAACTGCGTTTCGTACAGCTACATTCTGTCCCAACAATGAGCCGTAATTGACAGAACTATATTCGTCACGCGGAGGGGAATGTCGCATTCCAATCTGATATTTCCTGAAAGATTGCAATTATGCTTTTATATTACATTTAAATTGAATTTTTAAGAGAGAAAATCTAATTCAGTTAATTTTAAATAAGCATGTAAATGCATTCCTCGCATCACGAACCAAAATATGGATTATCAAATAAGTTTTAAATAATTTCTAAAAGATTAATTCGTCAACGTTTAACATTAACTTGAATTTTAGAAACGAACAAAGAAATATGAAATAATATACAAATTCTAATATGTATCCAAACTTATGCATTCAACTGCCTCCAAATACCTCACAAATTACGTTCACGAAACTCCGAAATTTCGAAGCGAGCGACTATATTTGACGCATAATTACACAAAAACAATCATATTTTGGAAAAATGGAACATAACTTTATTTGGAGATCTGCTTTTCGTGAACCCATGTCTTTAAGAGAAAAAAATCTACACAATTTTAGTTGTAGGAAGATGCCGACTATTTTTTTCAATTTCGAAAAATCAGACATTTTCGCAATTTTCAAAGGGGTTTCGAGGTTTTAAACGAACATGAAACCTGCACCATTCGCTGTCTAGCCACTATCTGGCAACAAAATTTAAAGAAAAATATGGGAACTTTTTTTATTTTGAAATTTTCCAACGGACTTTATGTGAAGTGCCCCCAAAATTAAAACATCAATTTCAAATTTAAGGAGCCGCGACATCAGCGAGATCAATTGGGTAATATCAATTTTTAGCAAAATCGGTGGAACTGTTTTGCCGATAGCTTTTTTTACAGACAGACGGACAAGCAGACACGGAGAGACCACCAACCTTTTGCTGTCAATCGATTTTTCTGTACCAAGGACTCACAAACCATAAATTCTGGCTACTCCTCGTGTAAGAGGATTTTTTTCAAAATTAGATAACTAGATTTATCCACTTTTTCGTTATCAGAGCCCGGTGTGACGTCATGGATACCCACAGCGAACACAGACACTGAGCTTTCATATAACAAATATATTTATTAACAAAGAAAACACAACAAATATTTACAATTAATTTTCTTCTTACACCCTAGCTCTGATAGACCTACTATACCCTGATCGCGGGAGCGATCCAAACCCGACTGATGATCGGTTTCGATTGTGGCATTCGCCACTCCTACTTCTGAAGCGCACACAAAGCCTAGCTTCCGTGACCGGATGTCACACTGGGTCCGTTCTGGCGTACCAACGGATGGTTTGCCTCGATCGCAGGAGCGATCTTATCCGAATGAGAATCGGCGTGAAACGTGGCACTCAACCACTCCTCACCTCGGAGCACGCACACAGCATCGCTCCCCCGTGACCGCAGTCACCCAAGGACACAAAGTCCTCCGCAGGCTTCGTCAACTCGTGACTTGCCTCGCGAGCCTGGCTCGCATATGCACCGTCGTGGCGCCAAGTTTTGTGCACATGCACGAGGTCCTCCCACTGTCTCCAGAACCCACCCACTGGCTCTGTACACTCTGTTATATAGACGAGGCCCACGTGACCTACTACGTCACGCCACCCCCACCGCTGTTATAATGCTAACAATTAAAAGGGGACAGGGTCTCCGTTTCTTAAGACCAGAAGACCCCAAAGCCTTGTGTCTCCCGTTTCCGCGTTCTTGCTTTACGGAAAAACCCTTCTCTCCTTCCTGTGGCGAGGAGTTTCCTCTTACTAATCCTCTACCAATCGTCCCCAAATAGATGCCACAAGGCACGCTGGCTAATACGTTACACCGGCAATAAGAGTTTATCTGTCGAAAATCCGCCGCTTTCTCCCGCAGCATTACATAACTTTCTTTCTCTGTCTGTCTCACTATCTGTCTCACTATCTGTCTCACATCTGTCTCACATCTGTCTCACATCTGTCTCACATCTGTCTCTCACTCTCTCTCACCACCTCTCACTCTGTCTCTCTCTGTCTCTCTCTGTCTCTCTCTTTCTCTCTCTTTCTCTCTCTGTCTCTCTCTGTCTCTCCCTGTCTATCTCTCTGTCTCTCTCTCAGTCTCTTTCAGTCTCTCTCAGTCTCTCTCTGTCTCTCTGTGTCTCTCTGTGTCACTCTCTGTCTCTCTCTGTCTCTCTCTGTCTCTCTCTGTCTCTCTCTGTCTCTCTCTGTCTCCCTCTCTGTCTCTCTCTGTCTCCCCCTCTGTCTCTCTCTGTCTCTTTCCCTGTCTCTCTCTCTCTCTACTGCTAAGTTCAACGAGAAAGTACAAGAAAATATTCTGGAATGTGCCATGATTGTGGATGCTTTCATTCTGGATATTTCGATCATTCTTCTTTAAATGATACCATATATTTCATATAATCTGTTAAAGATTTTCAAGATTGCAAAATTGCACTATTTGATAACTTAACATTTATAACATTTTGCACTTTTGAATAACATTACGTTTAATGCTCAGGCGTCTTGGTAGGAAAGAAATTGCGGATAGCGAAACATGCGCAAGAGGATATGGTTGCAAACCACAACTTCCTATCCGGCCACTGGACTCTGTTCTTTCTCCATCTGTGTTTCGATCCGGATAAGTGAAGCAGGATAAGAGACCCACATAGGGAAGTAATCGATTTTGACGTTCACAATCAAATAGTGTAAATTGACTTTCCAGTGAAAGTCAAAATGCTGATCGTAACCCAAAGTAAGTGGAAATTATTTTACGGCAATGTATGCCATGTGATGGAGATTACTGAAAAAATACTCCATTTTTATGTGAGAGGTGTAAAAATTTCGCTAATACGATGAATTATTGAAGATTTAGTGTTTTTTCCAATCATGTGATAAGATCTTAGATTGCGCGGTGATACTTGTCGCAAATTATATAAGACAATGCAAATCGTATCCATGAAAAAATTGTAAAATGGTAAAAATGGTAAAATGGAATTCAGGATGCCTGCTGTAAGTTTATTTTCTAGTAAATTTCATTTTCAATTCTAAAAATAAAAACAACTCAATTATTCAGTATTTTATAAGACGTAGGAAGTAAGGTAACGTCTCATAAGTGAACTTTTGAAGCAAGTGTCCACAAAACAAATCAATAATCACGATTCTCAATTGAAAGAGAATAAATAATACCGTAGATTCACTTAAAAATTGTAGCAGAGCTACAATGAGAAATGTGTTTTTCACGATTTATATTTGCTCTCAGCTTCTG